AGCTGTGCTGCTGGGATGCAGACTCGTCTCCAGTTTGAATTAAATCCAGCTTTTGTGTTTTTTAGCTCTCAGACAAGCCAGTGTTTGTAGTTTTCACAGGCTTCATGTGTGTAAAGGTGTTGCCAGAAACAGAAATCCTTACACACACATCAGATGGACATCAGGAACAAACACAAGTAAATGGACAGGTGTCCAACACTGTGGACAAACAGTGACCATTAGAAAGTGTGTTTTGGTTTCACAGCTGCTCTGTCCAAACGCTTCATACAGCTCATTTCTCTGTCTTCTTCAGTTTCCTGTTGTTCTTGATTATTTCCTGTCTCTGCTGTCATGTGATCACACTCTGCTCTGCACTGGACACAAACATCTGAACTCCTCCTCCTTTCACAAAGCTTCAGTTAGCTGTTGAAGCTAACACTCATGGGAAATGTAGTTCAACTTTCCTCCTCTGACTACAAAACACAACAGTTTGGGGAAAACATCACTCATTTTATGAGAAAATGTAGCATTTTTAGCAAAAAAAAAAATCCACAGTCATAATTTGATTTTGCTTCATTTTGCACAAATAAAACAAACATGATTTCTGACCACTGTCTGTGATTAGATGAAAAAGCTGCAGCTGGTGCTTCCAGGTGTTTCTGTGGAGCTGCAGACACAATCAGTTTCCAGCCAGATGTTCAGAAGAGTCTTTGTATCTTCTGTAAAGATGCAGCTGTAGGAGTCGTGAGGCCCACATGTTGCTGTCTTCCTGCCTATAAAAACAGGAGAAATGAAACTGAAAGTGTTCTCACACCGATCAGGCTCCATTTTCTCTGGACACAGAGCAGATTGKAGGAATGAAAATCAAAGAATTGGTGAGTGTTAACTGTTCACAGAGAACAAATATCTTTTCTCTGGGAAAAAAAAGTCTTCTCTTGTGTCAGATGAAGTCAAACTAACAGAAGCAGGAAGTTTAAACTTGTACTCCGACTGTGGCTCGTGCACAGGCTTGTCCTGATTCTTTTCTGTTTTGTTTGTTTCATGAGCTCACAGTCAGTGTTACTGTCTCCCTGTCAGACTGACTGAAGATGGACGTTGTTGTGGAGGAAGAGGACAGAGCAGAGACTCTGAGGACAGACCGCTTCAAACCTCCAGACATCAGTGAAGAACCTGAGCCCTCAGACACAAAGTAAGATCAGAGGAGTTGAACTTCTTATTACAAACAGGAAACCTTAGTTCTAGGGCTGCAACTAACGATTAKTTCAATAATCGATTAATCTGTTGATTATTTTTTTGATTAATCGACCAAATCATTAAAACTCTTAATTACATGAATATGAGTAGATATAAATTAAGTTAACTCCTTAAGGATGCAAGTTATTGATAATGAATTAATCTGAAGTTGATTTATCGTATAGATTGTTTAACAATTAATTAATAAGCAGCCATTTTTTTAATGGATGATATTGTTAATTAAGAATAATGATTTGTATTTATGGGTGTACATAAGGAAGGTGTTGAATGTGTTGATTTACTGTTTGGTGTTTTTTCTTCTTGTTTATGTGCAACATTTTGTGTTTTGTGGAATCCATTGGGGATATCAGGCTGTTTGTGTCATTCTAATTGCCGTATAGTTTGCATGCTGATTGATGTGATGTAAATTACATGTTTGTGTCTCAGAGGTCAGGACCTCAGACTGACAGCAGAGTCTCCAGGATCCAGCTGTCTGTCTATGAAGAGTGACTTCTCCAAAGAAGAACCTCTGAACTTCAGCAATGAACCTGGACCCTCAGACACAAAGTAAGCGCACATGAACGACTACCCTTAGATCTGGATACAAAAATCTTTGATTTCAGAGGAAACAAGGGCTGCAGCAGAAGTGCAATGATTTCACTCAAAACAAGGTAGAACTAGAAAACAAGGTGTGCCTCCGCCTGCCTTAGACTCATCTGCACTTAAAGCACTGGGCATGCAGTTACATGTTAACATTTATTTTTGGATATAATTATTCTAAGAACTATATCAACAGTGTCTAAACATGACTTCCTCTTTGATATTTACCATCTCATTAATTTCAGTGACCAACCACTTACAGTATGTGTACCATCCAAAATAAGAGGGTTCAATCAACAAAAATCCCTATATGTCAAGTTGTACAGATTGTCTGTAATTTACACAGATTTTCCCTCATCTTGCAGGTATATGGACGTAAAGAGCAAACTCACTGATTTTTTTCAAGTTGTACAGATTTTTTCAAAAATTCAGTTTCAAATTTATTT